AGCTGTGTTGACCTGTCTCGCTCTACCTGTCTGTCCCTCAGGTGTGCTGGTAGCTGGGGCCTTTGGTAACTTCTGTACGGAGGCGACAGGTTTCTCTCGTCTGTTTCCTGGACTCAGGTCTCACCTTCTGATGCTGCCGTTCTGGTTCAGAGTTCCTCTCTTCAGAGATTACATCATGTATGGAGGTAAACACCTGTCTGTCTCTCATCATGTGTGGAGGTAAACACCTGTCTGTCTCTCTGTCTGCTTGTGTGTCTCAGAGACAGACCAACACGTTGGTGGTTTTCAGTATTAATATTATGTTGTCATTAATAATAATACTATTAAATAGTAACAGCAGATGAAATAGATGTAGACCAGGACAGAAGAGGTTGAGGTCTGAAGGAGGTTCTGGAGGACCTGTCTGTCTCTCAGCTCTTTGTACATCTGAGTAAACTCTGTGTTACAGTTCAGAGAAGGAGGAGGCAGAATGCTGCTCTGTGATTGGCTGAGAGAGCAGGAGGAGGCAGAACGCTGCTCTCTGATTGGCTGAGAGAGCAGGAGGAGGAGGCAGAACGCTGCTCTCTGATTGGCTGAGAGAGCAGGAGGAGGCAGAACGCTGCTCTCTGATTGGCTGAGAGAATAGGAGGAGGCAGAACGCTGCTCTCTGATTGGCTGAGAGAGCAGGAGGAGGCAGAACGCTGCTCTCTGATTGGCTGAGAGCAGGAGGAGGCAGAACGCTGCTCTCTGATTGGCTGAGAGAATAGGAGGAGGCAGAACGCTGCTCTGTGATTGGCTGAGAGAGCAGGAGGAGGCAGAGAGCTGCTCTGTGATTGGCTGAGAGAGCAGGAGGAGGCAGAACGCTGCTCTGTGATTGGCTGAGAGCAGTGTCATAGGGTTCAGTGTCATCATTGATCCTCAGAGTGACGCCTCTGTGCTCTCTGATCTGTGGTGATGGGTTCAGGTTCGTCCAGGTTGATAATTGAAGATGCTTAAATAGAAACAACCAGCCGACATCACAGCGCTCCATTAAAGGGCTTTTGTAACAAAGAGGTTCAGCAGCTCGTTGTCAGAGCAGCCGGCTCAGATAGCTTCTTAGTCAGGATGATCTCACCCACAGCACTGTGTAGAGAGGAGACGTATATCTCAAGCTTGTTCTGCACATACGTTACTGTTAACACATGAATACTGTGTAATATATTGAAAGCTCTTGTTCAGTGTGCTAGATGATCACCAGAGAGGTCAGCTCATGAAGATGTCGGTCCTTCTCCTTCACTTCTGATCTCGAAGAAATAGAATAAAACATGAGAATGGTTGAGCAGGTCCTCGTATTCAGAGTCAACATCAGAGAGGAACACCTGAACTGCTCTGTGGTGCTCGAGTTATGTGTTTCACCACAGTGTTCATCACATCAGGCACACAGAGGACTTCTAGGTGTTATATGTATATACCAGTGGTGGGCCATCAGGGCCTGCAAGGCCTTCTCTGCTGGCCTAGACACAATCACCAAGTTATATCTATTTTATAATTTAATAATGTTTCATAAATACACTACATGTATTATAATTTTTTTCCCATTATCTTATGTTCTCATTGCACAGCTACTGTCTTCCTCAGTTGCTCTGCTTCCAGTGCAGCTTGTTTTAAGTAGAGCTTTCATCCAATCAGATCTCACCTCTGTGTCTCTAGGTAAGAAGAGAGGCAGAGGCCTGCAGAGTCTCACCTGCAGCCAGTGCAGGTTAAAGTAAATGGGGATGATATTGTTGATTGTCATAGTGTTCAACCAATCAGATCTTTAGTTTGACATGTTGGGCGTATTCTTTGATGTGTCAGAGCTGCTAGCTGGCCTACAAGTACGTCAGCATAAGTGCAGCTCAGTATTCAGGTGCAGCTCTGCAGTGAGAACGAAACTTAAAGAAGCCATCAGAGGCTTAGTCGGAGTAGTGAGAGTTCAAATTGAAAGATATGGAAGAAGTTATGACATGTTTTGCATTTAGCTTGGTGTAGTTTATTATTATTTTACCTGTTTTGTTTTTTAACACTCAATGTCTGAAGGAGGAGAAATGGATTAGAGAGTTGGGATTTAACCGTGAGATTAAACTCTTTGTCAACAAATAAAGGAGGATGGAGTTTATCTTTAAGTCAACTGCGTTTGTTTCTTTACATCTAATATCTGAATGGCCCTCCAGTGTGTTGCAGAATGTGTGTTCCGCTGTTGTTTTCCTGTTAAGCTAGTTAGCGTAGCCTCCCAGAACATGTGTGGTTCCTCAGCTGTTTTTTGTTGTTTCTTTTGTTCCGGGTTCAGAGGTCACAGCCCGTTGTCTCCTACATGAGCGCAGGAAACATTATATTTCCCACAATTTAAGCTTCTGCATTTTCCAAATGCACGAGTATTATTCTAACGTGTTGTTCGGTTCGTAAGCCTCGTACCGACGCTTTAATACGAACACGTGTGTTCAGCTGCAGGACAGCAGTGAAGGCCAGGTATAACATGCACGGCCCGCCACTGTGTTATATATGTATATGTATATGGATATGTATATGTATATATGTATATGTATGTGTATGTATATGTATGTATATATATGTAT